GGGCAACTCCTCATCAGGCCGCTGGAGGAGGGCTGACCGTGCCGGAAAGTCACAAACCTGAGGAGTTCATTACACGTCCCGTCGGGTCCGCCCGGACACACTTAAACACATTTCTCTCCCCACTGCTCCTCCCCCTGGTCCATGCCCGGGGCCCTGGCCCATCTGGCTTTAAATGAACAAGACGACAGGACTGCAGCATCTTCTTAAGAGAAGATTCTGGAGGCAATAGCCCTCAGTGGGACAGGTTTGCTCCTGACCACCAGCATCTACTCTCGGTGATTTTTTTTGGCTACTTCATATCTTTCTCTGTCCCCAGCCTGGATAAGCCTCCGCTGCCTCTGGGCCAATTCATAATCCTCAATTTCCTCAAAATTGCTAAAAATGGATGTCTTGTTGGAAGTGTTTGGAATTAGCTGCGCTTGGCTCCGAGGCCACCTGCACCTTCCACACCACCTCCCCCAGCCCTTCAACCCCGTGGTTGGTGGGTTTCCTTGTTTGTGTTTCGGGTTTCCTGGAGGTGTCTCTCTCTTCCCTTGGGTGACAAATTCTCCCCGGAACAGACCAGCTGCTTTCTTCCCTTTCCTCTTGTGCTCAAAACACGATTCCTTCCTCAAAGGGTGTTTGATGCTCCTACGTAACTTCTTCTTGTCTTTTGATATGAGAATCTTGCATGAGTGGATGTCCTTAGACCCTCTTTCAGTCCATTTCCATATCCTGACTCAAATGACCCAGTGGCTCCAGGCATCCCCAAGCGAGCATCATTCGTTCACCCATTGATCACGCATTCTTTGAGCATTGACTGTTGAAGTTGGGGGATACAAAGATTTACCAGACTCAGGTAATCAGGGTGTCTCCATGAAAGTAGGACTGAAGGGGACTGAGAGGTCAAATTCCAAGCCCCACACCACTGCCCTTTGTTTTATTGATCCAGAGGGAGTAAGTGACCACCTAAAATCACAGAGCTAGTTGGAGGCAGAACCAAGATGGAGACCTGCATCCTTTGAGTCTTAATCCATCAAATCCCATCATTTAAAATTTCAGGGGAGAAAGTGTGAGGGGTGGGACTGGGCACAAGGCTGACCATTGACTACCGCTCCAGATGTGGGAAACCCACCCCTCCTGTCTTCACTCCCTACACCAGCTTCACAGCATCCCCAGCAGGATGCCAGCCCCTTTCTGTCCTCTAGACACTGAGGGCACAGTAGAGAAGCTGGCAGACAGCTAGGCCCTGGTTTGCACCTGAATCAAGACTGGGCAACTGCCTGGGGTGTCGGTCTAAATTGGGTGCTGAAATATCACTGGAAATGCAGTCAGCTAGAGATTGCTGTATGGACCTGTGCTCCGCTTAGGGAGTGGACGTGCGTGGCTGGGAGGAATACGCTGATAATCTACTTGGGGTCTGGGATGGGACCTCAAAATGGCATGTGCAAGGAGCAACAGCTGATCAATCCTTCGGTCACCATTGGGGGTGGATGCCCAATTAGCTGCTGGCCTCTGGTTTTGCTGCGTGGGTGTGGAGGGCACGTTTGGGGCCAGAACTAAACTGCTTAGGACCTAGAGGAGACGCCAGGCCAAGCCACCCAAAGACCCCTCGCTGCTCTTCCCCCGTGCAGCCCTTGACCTCGCCTTGAAGTGCATGTGGAACAGGTATCAGTTTGACCCTGTCTGGGGCAGCGGTATATTTCTGTAAATCTCTGAGGATTCCAGGTCCAGCTCTTTGCTGTGTAACTTAGGCACTTCTCCTCTGTTCTCTCTGCTCAGCCCAGGAGCCAGCCTTCAAGAGAAAATCCGCTTTGCCTGGACGCTGTCCCCAGATATGCCCCGCCCCACCCCTCCCTTCTGGCCTACTGCACCAGCCCCCAGCTGCGGCCTGCCACCCGTCTGTCCGCTGCTCCCTGGAGGTCCTAGTAACCTTATCTCATTAAAGCCAACGAGACCTTTGGGCCTTTATAAGGTCTCTCTGGTAGCATTTGATGCTGCGACCAGTTCCCCCCATTTAAAAACTTCCTTTTCCATTGACATGTTCAATAAAGGGGTCTCTTGAGTCTCTTCCTTCTTCTCCAGCTAGACTCTCTCCTCTTGACTGTCCTGTCTCTCTCTAGGGGGTTCATCCCCTCCTAGCATCGGACACCATCTTTCTGCCAGTTTGCTCACTCGTTTATTCGTGCATTCAGCAGGTATCTGTGGGTCACGGGCTCTCGGCAGGAAGTCTTCTAGGCCTGGGGTGTGATGGTGACAGACCCCGACTCTCATGGAGTTTACATCCAGCACGTGTGTGTGTGTGTGTGTGTGTACGTGGAGAGGTGTGGGAGGTGTGCAGTAAGCCAGTTAATACACAAGAGAAACACTGGCAGTGAGCTGCATTATAATGCGGTGATGCGGTCGAGTGCCGAGGGGCTGCTCCCTGGGTGCTCAGGGCCTCCCCACCGAGTGGCACTGTTGCAGAGACCCACATGACAGGAGGGTGAGCCTCGGATGGTCAGGAGGCAGTAGATCCTGAGACCGCAGAACAGCACACCCCAAGGCTCTAAGCGGGGAGCCAGGGAGGCCGCAGAGGAACAGAGGGAGGGAGGTGAGGGGAGGCCGGATGGGGGCACGGAGGTAGCATTTGATTCTGGAGGTGAGGAGGAAGTGCTGGAGGGTTTTATGATCCGTAGAGACAGGATCTGGTCTCTGCTGGGAGAGAACGGGGTTGGGGGAGGCAGGGAGCAGGCGAGAGTGGGAAGGAGGCAGTTAGGGGCTGTCCTGTTGCTCCAGGGGGGACCAAAGCAGCCTGAGCAGGTGGAGAGAGGAGGACACTTAGGCCCACCTGCATGGAGAGAGGGTCCGCAGGTCGGACCAATGGCTTGGATGTGGGGGGAGGTGGTGAAGGAGAAGGAAGATTCCAGAATGCCTTAAGCAACAGCACAAATGGCTAGGCCACGCACAGAAGAGCCGAGAGGACAGAAGGGGAAGCAGGCATTGCTGGCGGGGGGACATGAGGACTCTCAGTCTTTATCTTCACCCTGAAAACTGGATGCACCTCGACCCTCTGTGTTTGTCCCCGCCATGCTCCTGAGTTCCAGATTCGTTTACCCAACCCCCTCTGGACATCTTTAAGTGTCTGTTCCACAAGACCCTCAAGTTCCACATGCAACTGGCTGAGCAGAAAGTCCATGTGGGATTCGCCTTCATTTCCTCCCTTCCTGGTCCACCTTTCCACACGCACGGAGTCCTCTCGTCCTGTCATTTCCTAAATCCTCCTGGGCTTTCAGCCCATCCCCCAGCTTCCCCACCCATGCTCACAACTCCCCTTCCACTCCACAGATTAAGGGATTTTTTCTTTTCAGAGCACATATCTGACCATGTCATTCTCTTTCTCAAAACTCATCGATGACTCCTCTTTACCTTTGGGACAAAGTTCCAACTCCTCAGCTTTCCCGCCTCGTGCCTGGCTCTCCATCCTCATCTCCCACCACATTTGTGGACCCTCCCACTCCAGCCACGCAGTCCCTAGACAAGCCGGGCTCCTTCGTGCCTCCGGGCCTTTGCCCAGGCTGTGGCCCTTTTCTGGATTCTTCTCTATTCTACGCCTCCCCCACCTTCCCATCCTATCTGCCTTTCAAGAACAAGCTTAATTAGGACCGCTTCTTAGAAGCCGTCCCTAAAGTCCTTTTCATCCTGTCCTAGAGAGAACCCAGACCTAGGATAAGCTGAGCACATCCCAAATCATACTCATGGAACATGCTCGAAAGCACTCTGGCTTCACATTCCCTCTCTCTGTTCATGGTGTCATCGTCACCAGGTGTGCAAGGCAGAAATCCCCTATTTCTCTTTCAGCCTCCCCAGTCTCTCCACCATTCAACCAGCCATCAAGTCCAATTAATTCTGACGGGGCAGAACCTATTCCAATTTTGCAGGTAAGGAGACAGAATTTCAGTTGCCCCTCACACTGAAATTTTCCTTGGGAGGCCTTTACCGATGGTTGTGAAGTAATTATTCGTGAAGTTCAGAGACGTCTGCCTCCCTTTTTAGATGGAAGGATCAGAGAGCAGGGCTGTGTCTTCCCAGGACTCGGCGGGTCTCCAGCACCTAGCGACTCCTAACGCGTGTGCAGGCATTCCCTGTTTCCTGGATGAGCACGAGTGCCCTTAGCAGGGTTGTTGTATCTTTCAGCCCTCCAAAGCTCCAGGCTCCCCTCATCCTCCCCACCGCCCCACCCCTCACCTGCCACCTGTTCCTCCTTCTTCAGCTCCCAGCCCAAATGTCCCATCCACTGGGCTGTCCTCCTTGAGTCTCGGATTGGGCCGGCTCTGGATTGTATGTTCCTCAGCACTGTGTAATTTTCCGTTCTCACATTTACCAGGGTGGACCATAAGCACACGCTTTCTTGGTTGTTTGCTAATGTCTGCCTCCTCCACTAGGCTGTGGGCTTCCTGTGAGTCTAGGCTCTGTGTCTGTTTGGGTCCCTCCTGTCCTTTCAGTGCCTGGCACAGCGCCTGGAGCATGGTAGGTGCCAAATAAATATTTGGTGAGTGAATGGACAATCAAGAATAAGGGATAAGGAAGGGATTTGCAAACTATAGCATTCTACCAGTGGTTCCTGACCTTTCTCAGGCCCCTCTCATCTGTGATGTTGGCCCTCCATGGGGGTTGATTCTTAAATGTCACAGGGGTGGGGGGAATATGACAGACTCTTGGGGGGAAAAGAAAGAATGCATGTAGTTGAGAGATGACCCAAAGTAAGTCAGATACCTTCCCGTTCCCTACACACGCATACACACGTGTGCATGCACACACATGCACACGCATGCTCTCTCCCTGTGTCACACCCTGGGCCATTAAACTGCTCCAGGTTTGCATTACTATTGTGTGGCAGTGCGTTCTATACATGTGAGTTAGTTTCAGCTGGTCGATCTTAGATGGCAAACTCCTGGAGAGAAGGAACTGGGCCTGTAAGAGTCTCTCTAACGGGTCTGAGTACTTAAAGGAAGCAGAAAATGAATCCATGACTAGCTTGTCAATTGCATTTAAAGCCCTCTGCACGTGGAAGGTGGAGAGAGTGTGGATGTTACTTAGGTAGCGACTGGGGGAAGCGTACAAGGACTTCCCTCTCCAGATGGACCGTTCTAGGAAGGCCAAATGGAAGAGGTGGACCCCCCGGCCCCCTTCATCGACTCTGCCTGGGGGACAAGTTCAGACATGGTTGCAGGCGTCTTCTCCTTCCTGGAGTCCTGGTGTTGGACCAGCCCTTGGACGTTGTGGCTTGGTTTCCCTTTCGGAGGTGGGATTCTTCCAGCAGCCTCCCTGGCAGATTTCACAGAGGGCCTTGAACACTGAGGTTGTTATCCGGCTTGGTTTGAACCCTTCCAGAGACAGAAAGCTCACTACTTTGCCGGGCATCCCCTCCCACTGCTGACAGCTCATGTTCTTTTCCTTCCTTTCTGGAGCCAGCTGTGGCCCCTCGCCACCAGCATGGCCTCTCTGAGAACCTGCATGCATCTCCCTCTTGGAGGAAGAGGGGTTTAATCAGCGAGGCTGGACGGGGGCTGAAGGTCACTGTGTGTGATGTGTCCTCTCCCCTACAGCAGGGGCCTTCCTCCCATGTGCTCCCCAGGCCCCCTCGTCTGTCACCCAGCTATGACTTACCTAAATGTGTGTCACCCAGAGGACGGGAACATTTGATTGCTGGGGAAAAAGACTTTTTTTCTTCCGCCTTTCAAAATGTGAGTCATGATTTTTCTAAAAATAGCCTGTGGAAATCAGAAGAAACAAACACACACAAAAAATCATACTAAAAATCCAGAGTACCTAATTATAGGAGAAAGGAAATGGTTTGGCAGAATTGGGATTCCAGTGATGTTTTCATATTTTCTTTGAATCAAACATCGTGCAGAGAGAGTGAAATACATTAGGCGTTGTTAATAAATTTTCCAACCCAGAGACTGAAAATCCCTCTACCAAGCTATTTTCAACCTCCGTGGGCACTCCTGAGTCTGTGGTATTTGGACTTGCTCCCCTCTCTGCTTTCTCCCCAGGCAGCCCCTGCTCACCGCCATCAACCTCACAACAGGCACAGTCAATCAGGCAGCCTGTTGCAGTTGCTCAGTCCAGACACTGAGCAAGTGCCTTGGGTGAGGAAAGCTCTGTAGAGAGCAGCGAACAAAGATTATTGAGTGGATGGTTTATCAGCCCATAGGAAAAAAAAGGAGAGATCACCAGGAATCATGCTGGGTTCACCAAGCACAAGTCCAGCCAAAACCACCTCTTTTCTCTGGCTGATCAGTTTTCTAGACTAGCAGACATGTGGCTTGCTCTGGACATCGCATATCTGGATTTGAGCAAGGCGTTTTGTAGGGACTTTGATGTAATCATCGGGGATGAGATGGAGAATGGTGGATGAGACAGTAATAGAGTTAGATGGATTAGCAGACAAAGTGCCATGTGAGCCAACAGCGGGGTGAAGCTGCCAGGAGAGCTAATGCAATCTTGGACTATATTAATCGAAGCACAGAGCCCAGAAGAGGGGCGATGACGGCACGTCCCTCTGTGCTTGGCAGTGGCCAGACCACATCTGGAGCATTGCGTTTCACTCTCGGAGCCACAGTTGAGCAAGGACGTTGACAAATGGGCTGGCATTTGCAGGAGGGGCAGTGGGATGCCCCAGGGTCTACGTACCATGCCATGCGAGCAGTGGGTGAGGGAGCTGGGGACCTTAAACCTGGAAGAGAGAACATCTAAGTGGCTCCTGATGGCTGTTTTCAAATATATAAAGGTCCGCTGTGGAAGACAGAGTGGAGATATTGGACACACAATCAGAAATGCAAGACGTGGCAGCAAGGCGGATTTGGGTCTGGTCCTTAGCGCGCCGACAAGAAAGGCAGAGCTCTGAGCCGAGCCAGGGGGCTCTCTGCCCTTGGCCCCCTGCCTGGGCTTCCTTCCCTGGAGCAAGACCTGAGTGTGGGGCCTGGCCTGCTGTGCACTGCTCTTCACTTTTCTGTCTACCCAAAATCCAGCAAGCCCTGTGCCAGCCTGGAGGAGGAGGGAGGGATCCAGAGCTGCATAGGGCATGTCCTTGCCCTCAAGGAACTTATGTCTGAGTTGGAGACATGGACACACAAACGATTATTGTTCATACAACGATTTCCCTGTAGTATAGCAGGAAGGGCGCTGGATTGCTGCTTCCTGTTCAGCTGCTAACTAGCTGTGTGACCTGGGGCAAATTGTTGCATCTCTCTGTGCCTCAGGTGTCAAGCAGAGTTTCTAGGGCCGTGGTCCTCCACCTTTGCAGGGCACACTGACCAGCTGGGAAACTTGTTTGAAACGCAGCCTTCTGCTCCACTGCATCGGTGGTCCTGGGGCGGGGTGGCCAGTGGTTCTAATGCAGGGGGCACATGGATCACGGAAAAATACTGCCCAAGTTAAGAATGAACGTGGACTCTAAAAGAAGTCTAAGTTTTCTGTTGAGTATGAGGAGAGTGGCCTGGAGGGGAGACGGACCAGTTAGGAGGCTGTGTCTCTGAGCTGGGGAGGAAGGAATGCCAGCCGGACTCGGGGCAGTGGTAACCAAAACACAGGGGCAGGCTCGGTGGAGCCGGAAGTGGCGAGTCTTGTGGCGTGAGGATGGAGGAACCTTAAAACAACTTTCTGTGATAAAATTTTACAATTGGATTGGCAGATGGACGCTCCCCGAGGGCGGGGATGATGATTGGCCAAAGTCCCTGACCTTGGATTATAAATTCTGACCTTGGTCTGGCAACCTGAGGGTGTCCTGGGCCTCCTCTGCAGAGGGCAGTCCTGCTCTCAAACTCCCTGGAAGAGGGCCGGGTTCTCCCGCCAGGAGCTCAGGCAGTGGGGACCTTTGGGGGAAAGGATCCTAGTTGCCTAGGTCCTTGCCCAGGCCGGTTCCTCTGGTGGGAGTCCCTCCGCCACCAGCAACCCAGCCACCCCACCTCTCTCATCTTCTTCCTCTCTCCCCTCCCTTCCTTCTTCCCCTTCCTCTTCCAGGCAGCAGGGAAATAATGAGGTTGCCCAACTGGCGGTGCACGCGCCATCAGGGTGTAGAATGAAGACGAATGACTGTAGCTAAGAGACAATTTGAAAAGGGATAAATACAGGCAACAAGTTATTCACCACAGCGATTTGTAAAGAGCGTTAAAAACCTGCAGATGGGTTGTTTCACATCATCTCCTTTTCCATTTGCAGGCTGACAGGCCCGTGTAAACGACAGTGATGGATGGCTTGGAGCCGGGCCCCTTAATCTACAGCTCTGCCATTGATTAGTTTGGCTCGCACCGCACCCCGGGTGGTGGACGTGACCTGTCTCCCAGAATGGAGAGTCTGAGCTGGGCCGTGGGACTTGGAGGGAGCTCCCTGGGGAGAAGGGAGCAGGGCTGGGGAGGAATGGGGTGGGGGCGGGGAGTGGAGGGGCTGCCGAGGGCTTGGCGCTGGACACCCGGAGGCTGCGCCGAGCAGCAGGAGGTTTCTGCAGCAGCTGACTGATTTGATCGGGCAGAGAGATTGGGGTAGAGGAACCAGCAGAGGTCGGGAATCTGGAGTCCGGCCCTCCAGCTCATGCTCCCTCCATCGTGGCTTCAGCATGCTGCCCGGCAATGACGGATCAGGAGCCCTCACAGGCTCTTTTGTGGATGGCTTTTGGACTCTGTATCCCAAGTGCCTGGCTAAGTGCAAGGCCGTGAATGAGTCAGCAGGTAACCCTCCGCCAGTGTTAGAGATGGGAGGATGGAGATCCCACGGGTGAGGGCGCTGTGTTCATCTCGGGAGCGGGGAGCTGATCCCAGGCTGAGTTTAGGATGTCCACAGCGTAGAGAGTATAGACAGAAGGACCCTCGAGAGGCTACGGAGGCAGGAAGGGCACAGTCTGGCAGGCTGCTGCAGAGGGGATCAAAAGATTATGAGGCATCAAAGACTATAAATTTAGGGCAAGGTGAGAATGCAGAGTTCCCTGTAGTGCCTGAGAAATTAGAGAGAGAAGAAAGACTTGAGGAAGACGTATGCTGCTGTATTGGAAAAAGCATCAGATCGGATTTGAGGGACTTTGGTCTTGCCTCTGCTCCCCATCTGGCTCACTGTAGGGTGCTGGGCAATGGCAGGAACCTCCCTGGGCTTCTGCGTCCTAAATTTAAAGAGAAAATGGTAGCAGCTCACACTTGCAGTGTGCTTTGCCCTGTACAGAAGTGTTCTTCAATCAAGATCCCATTTGATCCTTTTAATAACCAAGAGAGAGGAAGGAAGGCAAGTTTTTTAAAGTTGAACAAATAGGGGCTCAGAGAGGTTAAGGAACTTCGCCAAGGTCGCACAGCTTATAAGTTGGAGCTCAGGCTCCAGTCTCCGCCTCTAAAGCTTCATGGCTTGTGGGACTTGAGCACTTAGAAAGAAGCGGAGCTACTGAAGTGTGGACCAGCCAGATTTTAAACAAACCCTTGCCTAAGTTTTAATCTTTAGAACAAAGTGTGTTTTTCTGAAAACTGGACAATCCTCGCCCGCTGGTCCATGAGACTGAGTGCCCCTGAGATCCCTCAGGCTTGCCAGAAAGATGATGAGAATACAGAGCAGGGCTGGTTTCCTTAGAAACTGACTGACCTCAGAAGGAGATGGCCTGCTCTGGGAGCTGCCATCCTTCCTGCCTGCTTCCAAAGCAAAGCCTCACCCTTCTCTAAAGCCTGGTTCAGGACCCACTTCCTCCTTGAAGACCTCTGTGATAACCACACCACGGTGAGGACTCCCTCCTCCAGGTGCTCAGGGTGCTTGATCATAGTCTGCCTTAGTGTTGCCTGTCCCGCCAGATGTTCTGGGATCTTCTTAATAAACGTGATAACCTTGTGATTCTATTGGAGAGAGCTGGAACCAAGGGCCTTTTCCAGCCCCCGCGCCCCCAGGCACTGACCTAAGTGAGTTAGGATTGATGGAGCCCTATCTGGGTGGCTAAGCACCTGTTTGCTTTTGAATGGGTCCCTTGGCCCCACACGGGTCTCTGGTTCTTGACTGAAAATTAAGGAGGTGGCGGTGGAGAAAGGTGACCTTGGTCGGTGCTCTCAGCCCTGGCTGTCCGTCAGAAACACCTGTGGAACTTCCAAAAAGACAGAAGTCTGGGGCTGGCTGCAGCTCTACTGACCCGAAATCTCTGGAGAGGCGGCCTGGGCACCTGGGCCTTTTCCCCTCAGCTTCGTGGCTGACTGACATTCACCCAGGGCTGGGGAACCATGACCTCCGTGGAGAATCGTAACAGCCCTCACCGACGGAGCCCTCGCCAGGGGTCAGGCGCCGTGCTAAGCTCTTGTCACGTTTAACTGACTGCAACTTGGCCGCTGTCTTAGGTCAGGTTCCCTAGGAAACAGACTCCGAGACAGGGATCTGTGCCCAGGTGGCTTTTAGGGAGCACTCTCAGAGAACAACACCCGTAAGGGAGAGACGGAAGCAGGACGGGCCAGAGGGAGAAGGTGACTGTGACGTGGTTACAGGAAGACCTCCGCCAAGCCCAGGGCCGAGGCTGGGATGGTCCTTCCGAGTATTTGAGTGAGGTCAGGAGGTCAAGCCTCTGAACCCCATGCGGACCAGTCTTGGGTTGCGGGCTGCCTCTGGGGAAGGTGCCTAACCCTGGGGAGGGCAGCTCCTTCTGCCGAGGGCTTTCCTGGGGGGGGCTCAGCTGCGAGCCATCAGCAGGCCCTGCCCAGGCAGCTGGAGGGCTGGAGGCCTGGTTCCCACTGCAGCATCTGCCACTCTGTGATACTCATTTGTGGAAACAGAGGCTCAGAGAGACTTTAAGCCATCCCAGATCTACCCCGAATCAAAAACTCTGTCCACGTGGCTCGAAGATATATAGTTGTATTTGAAACATTTGCATACAATTTGGAACCCTAACTCTATACTCTCCGTCCCCCCCAAACCCACACATGGACAACACAGACACGCAGACACATGCACACGCTCCCACACACAGCACGTTACAGGGAAGGCATGAGCACTGAGCCTAAAGAAATAACGGGGAGGACAGTCCCAAGAGAGATGAAATGAGGCTGCAGCAGCAATATTAGGGCAAGCCGAGGTCTGTGAAACTCAAAAGTTTTCTTCCAGCAGTAAATGTACCTTATTAAAAAGTATTTACCATTTTTGCCTTAGTTCACACATCGGAAGTATTTATACTTGTTCTTTAGAATAACGTGCTTTTACATTATTAGGTCCTCTCCCAGGGTGTTCTAAGGCCGCTGCTGGAGGCTGACAGTTCCTTTGTCCCCACCTGGCTGGGGGCACAGGGCCTGCCTCCCTCTGTTCCAGGGGCCCCGCCCTTGCCCTGGCCTGAGGGGCAGCTGTGCCACGCTAGCAGTGTTGGCATCTAGCTCAGGTGCCTTTATTTGGCCATCGATGGGGGCCCCTTGGCACCCTGGTTCTTCCCTGAGAGTGGGCCTGCACTGGTTGGGTCTCAGCCCAAGATGGCGGTGATGGAGGAGGCGCTGTGCCTTCTCGTCTGATTCAAGGCCTCGGAGGCAGAATGGAAAGGCAGCAGCTGTGAGCAGAGGGAGGCAGCAGCCCACGTGGCGCAGAGACACCAAAATAGACGTGGTGGTGGAGGAAGGGGCGGAGGAGGGAGTCTGCACACTCACCTTGGGGAGAGCCAGCTCCAAGGGAGCCAGGAGAGGAAGAGCTGGGCTGGGAAGGGCGAGGAGCCCCCACGTCCAGGAGACGCTGTCGGGGTCCTCAAAAGCCTGCATATCTGTGCACAGAATGGGCACCTGGTCACTCCCTCAGCTTTGTTTGCTCACTTCCCCTCCATTTACTCACCCATTTGTTTCTCTAGACTAAGGGTTCCTGAGGCTGGGGTCTGTCTGTTCAAGGCGCTGTGTCTCCTTGGCACCCAGCACAGTGTCGGGCACACAGTGCTTAAATGCTTGTTGAATGAGTCATTTCCTAATTTATTCATTCACTGTCATTCATTCAACCACACGTTCATGCACTCTCCACGAAGCACTGGACTCTTCTAAGGGCACACAGAGAGCTTCCAAAGGCATTTAGAACATGAATATTGGCTTCTTGCAGGTCAAAGTCTTGTGGGGGAGTTAAGAATCCCACCCATGAGGAAGTTTCATATGGGCTCCAGGCTGTGGGGGCTCAGAGTTGAATGAGTGGTTTGGCCAGGCCATGGGCCGGGGCAGGGAGAGATCACCATGGGCTGGCCTAGCCTGGGAAATTCTGCCTCGTGAAGCTGGACCCTGTGTGGTGAGGATTTGGGCAGGGCGGGGGAGCGGAGCCCCACAGGCTGGAGGAGGGATGGAGTAGAGGGGAGTGAGCAATGAGTGGAGAGAGGAGGCCATGGCGGAGGTGCGAGGAGCACCAGGGGGTGATGGGGAGGCTGCACGGGAAGGATGTGCTGTCCTCTCTGGCCGTCTGGAGCGATGGCAGAGCCTTGACCTCTGTCGGCTGCCTGGAAGCTCAGCTTTCTAGACTCCACTTGGGCATGGAGTAGATTCAGGAGTGGTCACCCCCTGAGAATGTGCGCACCAAGCAGGATCTATTCTGATGGCCTCAAAATGACTAGAAACTGATTTTGAAGGGTATGCATCCCAGGAATGAGCAGGCACATGGTGAGCCAGGGTGTCACCCAGGCTCAGCAGCAGCCAATTGTCACACTTTGGGCCGTGACACTGTCTGAGAATGACTTACTGACAACCAACCAGAAGGCAACTTTGGACCAGCTAGAAATCACCTCCTCACCAAGCGGAAAAGAGACCAGCTGGTCCCCTAGATTCCACCTCTGTCCTTGCCTATCGGGCATGCACGATGCTTCACGATCCTTCAGTGGACATTAATTGAGGGCCTGTGAGAGCCGGCTCTGCTGCAGGTCTGCTGTGTAGAACTAGATCTCTTCCAGCTCCCTGCCTGCGGGGTTCTGGCCGGGCTGTTACTTCTCCTGGGGGCGGGTCCTGCTGGAACTCACCTCTGACTAAGCCCCCCTCAAGGGCGGATCCTGACACTGCACAGGTGAGGGGCTCAGGGGTCCAAATCCTCATCCCGTCTCACTCACATCTCTTCCACCTTCTCAGGAGGAGGGAATTCTTCTCAGGTCACGGGGAAGAGTTGGGGATTCAGACGCTTTTGCCCCCTCTATTCAGAGGCCCTGAAAATAGGGCAACTTT